GTTGATGGACACCTCTAAGGGGCTAGTATCATATTAGATCAGACATATATTTAGACACCCCTTAGCGGCCCTGGTATAGGGTTGCACAAGTGCAGGGTTTCTGGAAGAGAAGAAACCACCAAAAGACTCGAATTACCCACAAAAGTTTGGCAAAGCAAGAAGCGATCTTCTTGCTCAAACAAACCTGGAAAAGCGCCCAGCCCAAACCACTTCCACACGCACAATTGTGGAGGGAGTGGCTCACCAAACTTCAGAATGTGAAAGGTCCTTGGGGGCCTGACTGCATTACAAAAAAGCTGTAACAAAACAAACCACAAATATTATAAAACCTGCTGTCATGAACTCACAATCCCCGAAACCGACACCATTTCCCCAGCATCGGCCCTGGTTTCGCGACGACCTCCCGCAACCCCCGCACACCCGGCGGCACGCCGCCGTGAACGGCGCCTTCTTCGCCCTCGCGGCGCTTCTCTAAGAGCTCGGTGGAGGCCGAAGGGCCCAAGCGCCGAGCCTGTACCGCGGCCGCGCGCACCGCTGGAGCTCGGTGGGTTCCGAAGCTCCGACCACGAAAAGAGGGACCAACAGAGGTGGAGATAGGGACCTGAATCTAGCACCCATCACCATGGGGTACCTAACTGGGATAGTCGAACAGTCGGATTCTTCCACCTCTGTTGGTATGTCACCTATAAGATCTTGATGAATTAACCTCCCCAGAGTGAAGAGGTTCTTCACTCCAAATGGCACGGGGTCTTTGCCTCAAGAGTCCACATATGCCAGACTCACGGAGTCAAACCATACGCATTCCCCAAAACCACGGTGACCTCTCTGACGTGGTCGTCAGTGGTGTGTTCAATCCGTCCCAAAGGCCGATCCCCACACCACCGCTGCCCTGGCAGCGGTCCGGTCCCCAATCCCTGTGAAATACGAAGCCGGCAGGAAGAACACCAGCAGAGGTTAAGTGACCGTAAATAGGACCCTACCAGGGTAATTACCTATTGGGATAGTCTATACTTCAACCATCTTCAACCTCTGTTGGAAGACTTCGCTCCGAGCGTCTGTCTTCTTCCGCAGCGACACCACGGCCGCACCCACCGCCAGCAGCGCGGGCACACGAAGAGACCCCGACACCGCACTCACGGCCGCACGTGGGGTGCCGTGGGGCGTGCCCAGTGCGTGGGCGGACGCGGCAGGTGGAAGCACCTGGGACAGGAAACATCACACCTGACAGCTGACTGATTTGGCCTTGCTTGGAAAATCAACATGAAAGCCTGCATCACAAACTAGCTCTGAAGGGAAACAGCAGTTGTAAGGGAGCCATCTCCCATCTCCCTGATGTGCTTCATCATTGGCGTGCATAGTTGTGTCACAAACATGGAAACATATACTGGGATCTTCTCAAGTTCATGTTCCGTTAGAAAGGCACTGGTGTCCATCTCTATGTCAACAACAAAAGGCCATGTAACAATACTGTGATAATTTTCCACGTGAGATGAATACCAAACCCCAGGGCTCCAGTCATACCTCCGTTCGGTATGACTGGACCCAACGGGTCGGCACCCGGGCCCCGGTCGTCCCGAACCGAAACGATACGGTACCACTAGAGGCCCAGGGCAAGGGTGGTTGCGACTCCACTCTCTGGGCCTAGAGGGTCCTAGGCTCTACTCATTCAACAGAAGACCACGCGGAGAGCCCTACCTCGCATGAACGAAGCAACGACCCAATGTTGGGCCGATGAAAACCATCACCGTGTTCGGTACGTTTCAGGCAACTAGACATGGGAACTGGGAACATCTTCCCAACTTGGAATATGGCAATAATCTTTGCTTCCACCATGCTATCATGTTCAAAGGATTTCAATTGATCTCTTTCCATGATTTTGGACACCTGCGCATGCACAAGACAAGTTGGAACAAGTTTTGGGACGCGCTAAAGAGTTATGTCGACCCACTACTAGAAATGAAACCGGAGAGTTTAGCCATGTTTAGCCTCTTGCTCATCTGGAGAAGCTCCTCGTCTGATCCTCAGTTACTCGCCCTTCAACTACCCCCTGACTAAACAAATCTCCTGGATCTGCCCGTGAATTCCTTGAACACTTTCACCCGCCTGTGGAAGCGGCACAGATGACACCTGAGACACCCACGGGCGGGAGACACCTGGATTCAAGGCTCCCCGGAAGCAACTAAAAACTTGGAACATCCCTACTGCTCCTGGCCCGCATCCTCAGAAGGTAGGGACACACACCTCTGGCACCCACCCCAACCACCTTGGACTTCGTGGGCCACACATCCCTAGGGCAACCACCCCAACCACCAGGGTCTTCCCCCCAAAACTCGGTGAAAGAAGGGGCGACCCATCTCTTCGCTCGCGACGGCCCGGCGCCAAGGGTCGGAACTTCTGCGTTCGACTCGACCCTCGCAACAGAAAGTACCGTGGAGTGAAGCACCCCACTGTTTGGTCTTGGGATTTGGTGAAGCTGACCCTCTAAGGTCAGTGGAGAAAGGGTCAGAGAGGGTCTAGAGGGTCGAAAGAGCTCCCTTCCAGGTACCTGGTCGGGAAGCTTCAGGTGGCCTTGTGAGGGAGGAAGGGATGGAGGAGAGAGAGAGGAGGGAGGAGGGAGGGAGGGA